AGTTAGGAATGGAAAGAGGTTGATGGAGGAGATACTTTGATCTTGAGGTGTCCTGACACTGGTATGAAATTAGTCCTTGTGAAAACAAAGTTTGGGGTTATAATTGACAAAGCACCCACTTCTACCTTCAGAGAGCACGGGCTTACATTTCATGGAGAACAGTGCTGACTGTCATAATTAGTTAAGCCTCTGAATTTTCCTTTCAGTGTATTATCAATCACATATTGCCAGATTTGGGGATGGAATATCATTAATGAGGAACTTGGTAAAGCCTGAAAAAATAAATATTCAGGAAAAGCTTGAAGGGTAGCATCTTTCCTTCACTGTTTGGCACATCATCACTTTGTTTTCCATGTTTTATTTAACAAATGCTATTTAGAAATATCCTCTTCTCTACTGTTCTCAAACCAAAGTTCAGCCTTTTGTATTCTTCCTCAGTTCAAGGAGCATTTGAGCATATCAACTGATATTCTTTATTTCTGTGGGCGCAATTCGAGAAGCAATTGGTGGAAGGCAATTCTGAGTCTATGGTGAATAAAAAAGTGAGAATAAAGGTGAACGAATGTTTTCTCTGGTGTTCTAAATCCAGTTGGAGAAATGATGAGCAAGTTAGCTCACCTTAGCTGAGCATCTTACTCTTTCAGCAAGGGCCATGATGCTAGTGACTGGAGAAAGCAGTTCTTATGTGGTATCCTTTTAAGGAAGACTGTGGTTTAAATGGGCTCCTCTACTGGCCTCCTCTTTAGGCTTAGCTCCACCTCCAATCCATCCACCATCACTAACCACATTTCTAAAATTAAGTTATTAGAGGAACCATTTGGTTCATGAGATGAGTGAATTTTGATTGAGGAGGATGGTGGTGGTAGGAACTGCTTGTTAGTGCCACTGAGACCATGAACAGCATGAAGGAGAAGGCTAATAAAGAAGTAGAAAGAGGAAAAAAGAAGCAATCAAGCCGATCTCAAAAATTTTGTTGGAAGTATGCTTGAAGACTCAGTTTTCTCTGGGTCCTATAAATTGTGTAGCTGGTTCTGGCTCTAGGCTTTCAGGTCTCTCAAGTGTTAACAAGAGTGATGGAATTGGGCCTAATTCATCACCTTCCTCCAGGTTTATGTATCCAGATGAACACTAAACAAAACTGCTGCTCATTCTCTTGTCTTATTTATTTATTTATTATTATTATTTTACATTCTAAGATGTTGTGGAGCAGTTAGGGGGGAGGGGGAGAGAGAAAAGGGAAGGGAAACACGGTAGGAGGAGGAGGAAGGGGGGCGTGGTTGAGGCCCATGGTACCCCCCTCATTCTGGCAGAAGAGCTGTGGGGTGCTTCCAGTGGCAGCTTGGTGGTCATCGCTGAGCCGGATGAGGATGTGGGGGGTGGGTGGATGAGGCCCTTAGCCTCCCACTGTCCTGGCTCTGGAGCTTGGGGTGCTTACAGTGGTGGCCTGGTGGTTGTCACTGGGTTGGGTGTTGATGCCGGGGGCGTGGCTGAGGCTTTGGCCCCCAATTACCGTTGCTTGGGAGCCTGAGGGGCTTCTGGTGGCAGCTTGGTGGTTGTTGCTATGCTGGATGTGGATGCGAGGGGGGCATGGCTGAGGTCCTTGGCCCTACACCACCCTGGCTTGGGAGGCTGGGGGGCTTCTGGTCCTTCTAGGTTTTATAGGTGTTCGTTGGTGGTGGTAGACCTTTACTGGTCAATATCAGAACTTTGACTCTGATCTGTGGGTGTTTTGTGTTTTTTTTTGTTCTGTGTTGGATTATTAGCTGCCCCCACCACTTAAACTCTGCACTGGAACAATTTGTTGTCCTTTGCTTACTTTTAAAATGGGGAAACTTCCTGTGGGAACCAAAACTTGAACCCCATGGTTGAGCTAAATTGTTGCTTTGCTGATGATTCCCTGGGGAAAGCTTTTTGTGAAAATCAGGGTTTTTTTTGTTTTGTTTTGTTTTTTTTGTCTTTTGTCTTTTTCCGTGTCCGGCAACAGATCGCAACCCTCAGTGTTGCCCCCGTACCGGACCGGGGACCGGCAACGGGATTGCAACCCTCGGCGTTGCTCCCGC